ATGACATAGAAGACATATATGATTTCTTAGGGATCGATGTCATCCTTTGGATCATCATCATCCATGTCTTCTTTTGTATAACAATAGCTTTCTTATTTAAAATTACTTAAAATCTTTATTAATTATTTATTATTATCTATTATATGATACAGAAAGTCTATACTTAATAATATAAATGTAACACTTAAAAATCTTTTAATTCTTTAAAAAAAAAAAATTTAGAAAAATAAACTAGTAACTTTATTCTTTAAAATAAGCTCTATTAAATTATTAGTTAGTTTTTCAAAATAAGTTCTATATAAAAAGTTATAGGCATTTAAAATTGAATAATTTTTATATGTTCTTTTTGAATTTGAAACATATATTATTGATTGTAATTTGAGCTGATATTATGGTAATTAATCATAATGTTAGCCTGAATTATTATAATTTTAAAATGATACATAAAAAATAAGATTAATATCTTATATTTAATTGGTTAATTACTAATCTTGTGATATAAAATCTATAAAAATTTTGAAATATTGTTAAGTTAAAACTTTTGACACTATATAATTTTTTTTTTATTTTTAATAATAAATGATATTTCTCTTCTAACTTTTATAAATTCTTCATTTTTTGTTATATATTTTTCTAAAATAATATTTACTTTAATTTTAATATTATAAATCAGTTAGATTAAAATTTATATAATTATTTTAGAATATTGATAAGATGTGACCAGTTATGGTTCTGCAAATTATTACTATATTTTATTTTATATTTGAGATAATGATATAACACTAAAATTAAATACAGATTATAGTCAATTCTTATTATAATAAACTCTATATTCTAGACCCCAATTTTGCTATAAGGCTATAATAAAAATTTTAAGAAATTTGATTAGCTAATTCACTATAACAAGAGAATTTTTATTATATTTATTTAAAAATTCGTTATATTAAGAGTTTGCTATATTAAGAGTTAACTGTATATAAAATATTTTAACTAAAAAAAAAAATAAAAAGAATATTAATATAAAATATATTAAATAAATTTGAAAATATTAATTAAAAAAAAAAATAATAATTTTCAGTTAATCACTATAAATAATCATATATGGGGTCTTTGCAATAGAAAGGGAGGAAACTTCAAAAAAATTAAAATTTTAGTTTATAAACCAAAAATGTTCTAAATACTATAATTTGTTCAGATTTATTATTAACTCATTTTTTATTTTTTTTTGAGTTTCCTTCCTTTCTATTGCAAAGGCCTCATATAGTGATATATTTTTTCACATTTTTTTATCTATTTTGCTAATTTAGATAAAATAGTATTAATAATTATTAAGTAATTAAAGTAAAAATTACTGATCATATTTTAAAATTTATTTATTATTAATTATTTTGTAACCTTTACTTACTAAATTTTTTGTTAATAAATAATAAATAATATTAAATTATTGATTTAAATAAACTTAAATTCAGAATTTATTTATTTACTTATATTATATATTTGATAATTATTATATATTTATTACTATACTAAATAGTTCTTTATATTTTTTTTTTATTTTTTAAGCTAACCAATATTATTTATGAAAAGATTTCAATTGTTTATTAATTATATAATAGAAGGTTAATAATTAATAATTAAAATTTTTTGTAATTCTAAAATTAAACTATAATATTTTTTAATATATTTCTTATTATTAAGAAATTTATTATTATTCAAATTATTTTTTATGCTAATATTTTAAAATTGCTTTTATTTTAGCCTAAATATAAAAAACAAAAAAAAAATTAACTAAATATATAAATATAAATTTAAATATATTTTAGCTTTTTACATCAGTTTTTCTATTACTAAATTATTATTATTTTTAAAATTTAATGATATTAATTCATTATCAATATAATAAAATACTTTTTTTCCCTTGATTTTAATATTTATTTTATAATTTTTTTTCATTTTATAAGAGAACTATCATCTAATTGTTTCAATATTTTAAGTAGTTATATTTTTCAAATTGATTAAATCTTAAATATTAAAAAGAAAATTAGTTATTATAAATATTAAAAATATTAATATACAGATTTTTACTTTTCCTACAAATTGTTATTTTTCTTACTAAATTTTTTGTTGATTTTGACAAAAAATTAATTTTCTTTTATTCTTCTTTAAGAGATTAAAATTTTATTATTTTAATTTCTTGATTCTCTTATATAATTGTTAAGATTTAAAAAAATATATTATTTAATTACAATTGCAACTAAAATATTTACTACTGATTTTTATTTATATTTTGCTAAAAGCTGAAATTTTCTATATCATTTTTGAATTTTATTAATATTTACTCTTATATTTTAAATAATTTTAATTATATGTATTTTTGTTTTTTCTAATATAGAAAAAAAAAATCAGTTTATTTTTTAAAAAGTTAACTAATTGATTAATAAAATTTATCTTATATTTTAGTTTTTTTTTTTAACTAATTTTAATAGTTAAAAATATTTATATAGTATTAATTACAATTAAGTTTCTATTAAATAAAAATAAAAAAAAAACAGTTTATTATTTAAAAAATTAATTTGTTAATTAAATAAAATTTAACTTATTTTTTAGCTCTTTATCATTGGTAAAAATAGTATTGCAACTAATTGCAATTATATGATACTTATTTATTACTAGTTATAACTAGTTATAACTCAATTTTTATTAGTATCACAACTAGTAATTTAATAATGCATATTTATTATTATTTACAATTAGTTATAATATTATCTTTAATCATTGATTAATTTTAATTTTAAGAACATGATTTAGTATTAATTACAGTTGAATTTCTATTATAAAAAAAGTAAAAATCAGTTCATTAATTGAAAAATTAACTAATTTATTGATAAAAATTCAACTTACATTCTTTTTATTTATCAATTGAATTTGATTTTGATATATTTTTGGTATTGATTATAAATCTCTTATAAAAAGTAAAATCAGTTTATTATTTAAAAAATTAACTAGTTGATTGATAAAATTCAACTTATATTTTTTTGTTTTTAGAATATTTTTTTTGTTAGTATTTTGATAGTATTTTAATAATTTGATTATAAAAAAAAAATTAAAAATATAAAATTTGATTATAAAATGATAAAGTTTAAGTTAAAATTAATTTTAAAAGTAAAAAAATTAAAAGCTTATTTAAAAAAATATTCTATATATATTAAAAATAAACTTAAAAAGTATAATAGATAAGACTTAAAATAAAAATCAGCAATAAATTATTGATGTAATTAATATTTTAATTATATATTAAATAAAATTTAAAATAATTTTATTATGCATTAGTCTTAAATAAATTAGAAACAATTTGTTAATTTTAAAGGCTATTACTAATATTTTAGATTATAGTTAACTGATTTATTTTTATATATTTTTTTTATAATTCTAATATAATAATTTATTTATTTTAAATTCAAAGATTAATTTTTTGTGATAGTATACTTTTTTCTCTTTTTTTTATGAAAAGTTGTAAACTATCAGATTAATGTTTCAAAATTAATCTTATTTGAATTTACAAATAAGAAGATTACTAAAAAAATCAGATTTTTTAATTAATTGAAAATTTTTCTTTTTTTTAAAATTGTTTCAAGGCATTCCATTTGCTCCAGTTTCACCATTGCCATCTGGACTTGTAAATCCACCATTTCCAAATACCGTAACAGTATCTGAGAATGCCACTGCTACCTTTTGTGGGGTTGCATAAGGATTTTGTACGATTAAACAATAATAAAATCCTAGATTAACCAACGGAGTAGTGCCAGAATCATGGTTACAATAAGTTACTTCGTCGCTATAACATGATAATGATGGTATTGGGGCAATATTGGGAAACCTTTGAGAATTTTCATAATCTACCAAATAAACGTAAACTCCACTTCCTCCCCCCGTTAGTGGTGCATTATTTCCTTCAGCACTTGCTCCGAAACCATTTGTAATTGGCGTTAGAGGAGGCACCACCACAAGACTATAACCTATAAAAACAAGTTAATCACTTTTTTAACGTTAAAGTAACGAAAAAAAAAAGTTGTATAACTGCAATATGATGATACTTACTAACGTTATTTGTTTGTGTCGAACCGCATGTTATCCAAGTTCCGTTGTTTGGAGGAACACGTGCAATTTGGTAAGGTTTGATAATTGTAAGATTTAAATTCAGCGGTTCTGAAAAGGCAGAGATAACCTATGATAGATGTAGAATTTCATATATTAAGAAACGAGAAGTTAATGTCAAAAATATATTTAATAATATTTATATATATACCAATGAACCCAAAAGTAGCGTAATGGTAAATATAATGGATTTTAATTGTTTCATTTTATTAAATGAATTTTTTTAATGTTATTAAAAAAATTTTTCAATTAAAATTTCTCAATCGTTTCGGTTTCGAGAATAATAGATTCCATCGAGAAATGACCTTTTTATATATACCTTGCAAAAAAAAAAAAAAAAAAATTCAGTAAAAGAACTCCATTACAAATTATGCAAATGGAATTACTCTTTTCAATGATCGTTTACATATTCTAGTTACACATCAAACTTAATTTGCAAATTTCATTTATAAAATTTTTTTCATTTGCCAATTTTCCTTTATCTGTTTAAATTAAGAAATTTGGAACACTATTTGATCACGTGTAACAACTTATTTCTATAATTGAAATTCTTAAATTAGTTTTTTTTTTTCCAAAACAATATTATTGAAGCTTTATTTAGCACATCATTATACCGTACCGTAAATGAGATGATTTTATCCTGCCTATCAAAATGGATTTAGTACATTTGTGCATTATTTTATCTTATCACCCGAGAAAAATATCTTTGCATTCCTAATTTCCACTAAAAAAAAAAGGATGTAAAAATTCAAGTTTCTCAGAAATCTTTTATTCTTCGCGAATTACATATATATATATATATTTATATTTTTATAAAAAAATTTGATTCTGGTGGATATTTATAAATTTAATAAATTTTCAATTTATTAATTTCCCCGCACATGATGATAGGAAGGGGACTACAAAACTACTACTGGTAAACAAACATTGCTAACCTCTAATTCCAACCCTTTATTCCAGAATGACTTATTCTGTTCAACCCTGGTACTAACAATGTTGTTCAATCTGGCGGAAATGATATCTTTGTTGGGTTTGTTATTAAAAGAACTGATAAAACTAACAGGGCAACTAAAACTTAATAACATATGCCTATGTTTATTAAAAACATTAATAGAGTATATTAAAATTACACGTTCTCCCTCATGTCGAAACTAATGAATATACATGTACCTTTGGATTTCCTCGGTAGATTTCATGTTTTTCTTTAGGAAGATTCGATACAATATTAATTCTTGACTTCCAAGGCAATTCATCATTATATTTTGCGAACAAAATGAACTTTCGTCATCGGTTGAAGAGCTTTCTAACACGTATATGACGGGATACTCTAAAATCCACCCGGTGAAAGAAATCATGCATTGAGGAGTTTGAGAAACGAATAAAGTTGAATCCGAATTTTCTTGAAAGGTAAATGGATGAAATTGTGTACTCAAGAGATGCATCAACGAATCGGGAACATTGACCTGGTAAATATCATTGCTTATATAAGTTTTCACGTGATATAAACGCCACGCAGGAAAATGACGTACTTGCGTGGGCTCGACGTTTTTTTTGGATACGTCTATGAATGCGATATCCTTGAATTCATTATCAAGATCCAACTTGAGCTTTGCTGATAATAAATCTTGATTACATATGAATACATGCGTATCTGAAAATTGTATGCCGCATATATGAGGGATTTCCTGTATCAAATTGAGAAAAAAAAAATTAATTTATTTGAAGTTTAATAAATATTTGGAGTTTTTAAGATATTTACTTGACGAAGAGATGCTATGAGCCTGGTAGTCTCTTCATAAGTTAGAGATGTTACATCAACCAAATGCGCGGTTCTTTTTAGAATCCGTAGTTAGTGATTGGTGATTGGAATGTGAAAAAGGTTGACGCACATACGTATTTAAAATCTCATTGGACGAAATAACTTTTCATGGTAAAATATTATACTGATTATATTCTTACCTAATCCCTAAGGCAATATTCAAAACGTCTAAGTAATTAATAGTGATTAGCCCCTCGATATAAATAAGGATAATAGATATATATATTTGTAGATACCATAAATAAAATTTATCAATCTAGATTTTCGACGAACTTTTTTGGAAAGACAACATGGAGAATTAGACGAGGTTATACAAAATTTTATATGTTCATATATTTTAGATGATGAAGATATTGACATATTTTTCTCACGGGGTTGTAATAAGAATTAGTAAAAGAATATAATCTTTTTTTCAAAATGAAAAATAAAGAAATGGTGCCATAAATATGTGATTGTCCTTTGGCTAAATTACTTATGATTATTGTATGCATTGTTAAAAACATGATGTAATCAATGTAATCAATGCATAAATAGTTAACACCTTGAATAGCGGTGTAACGTCATCAAACAAGTTTTGTATTTTTCATGATGGTTTTTTTTTGACCCACGAATATTTTTCTAAGCGAACAAACAAGCTTGATCAACATTCTAAAATTAAATGCAATGTGCATGTCAAATATGCATTTCTCCAATGTTTCCATAAACAAATTTTCTTATTTAGGCAAACACTATTACAATTAATTTTCATTGAAAAAAAAAATTTATTTGCGTTTAAAATAACTTATTCTTTTGTTCACCAAATTGGTAGAAATTCTACCGTGTTTACCTTGATATTTTCGTTAATGAATAAATGCGTTGATTGGTGCTTTCTTAATCCCGTTTACGGAAATTCCGAAAGAAAGTGTCTAATACTTTTTCTCTTATTTGTTTTCTACGCATTAAACCATAAAATACAGTATGTTGATCTAATACATAAGCCATTTTATTAAGCTTTTGGAAAGAGATGATTGTATCGATTTCAATGTTGAATAATCGTTATTTTAAGAGATACCGAACACCTTAGTTTTCGATACAGGATATTGTCTAATATTATTCGTTTTAATGTTTAATATATATGAAACATTTCAAAAATTTATTTATTTGTTTAAATTAATGGAATTGTCTTTAAAGGTGGATCCTTTTAACTGTTCGACAAGAGAGAAAAATACAGGTTTGATTCATTTACACGCATTTTGGAGATAATCGGAAGTCCTACCGTAGATGTTATCGTTGTGTATAGTGACACTTATTTTATTTGTGTTCGGTCAAGAAAGTTCATTCTAACTTTGGCGTAATCATGTAAATAAATCGGTTTAATCATAATACAGTAAGTATTTAATCAACATCACAATTAATTCGAATAAATTGTTTGGGGGGCATTGCTACACGATACATTTATGAGATCAAGTGCAACTTTGATAAATTTTTCTATATCTTTTTTTTTTTTTTTACTTTAGGAAAAAATAATGAGAAACTGTGAATGTTTTGAAATACAACATACATGATGAATATAATCTTTTTTTTTTTGATCAATCAAAATAATATTCACGCTTTGCTGTTTATTTTTGTTACACCAAACAACGTGTTTCTAACAACGACGCGGATTTTCATCGATAGCTGTACATTCTGTACAGTACAAGAATTTTAATTTATTACTTAAAGCTTTATACACGTCATTTACTATAACACATATAGCGGCCGTTCAACCGAGGCATTTGAAGCGGTAAGGAAATTTGTAAGGTCGCGTAACAAAATGCATGCGATGATAAATAAAATCGACAAAGTTAAAGGCGGGATACATTCAATTGATAACGTCAACCTTTCTCTTTGGTAAAGGTGCAAGCAAATGTTTTAATTTTTTTATTTTCCTTTTTTTAAATAATTAAAATAAAAAAACGCGAAACAACTATCATATATCATACGTATATTAAAAAAAACCGAACGAAGATAAAATCTATCAATTAAAAAATTTAAAAAGTGTTTCCCATGCATCTCAAAGTGCAAAAAAAAAAAAGGTGAACAATTTCCGTACAAGAAAAATTTTGTGACCAGCGCCAAGAATTGATTTACCAACATATAAACACAATAGTTTACATTTAACTAAAATCACATGTTCAAATCATCTCTTCAATAACTTTTATCGTTTCCATTAAGACATGATTGTACCGTTTGTGAAATATTAATGTTAGAAGTGCGCCAGCTTTTTTATTTATTGATAAAGGAAGGTAGCGTAACCAATTACTGCAGACCTTTTACTGACGACAAAATTGGGGCACCTGAACAATGAAAACTTGTATACCAGCAATCGAAGCGCAGTATTTCTCAAAGTCAAGGTTCAGAGTAGAAACCCATTCTAAGTAGTTTTATTACTAATTTAAGAATTTAAGACTAGTTCAAACCGACCAATCACAGAACACCCAACCCACTAATGATAAATTAAATGAACTTCCCAATACCAATGAGTTCTTTCTATTATCTTTTTTTTTTTTTTTTTTTTTTAAAGAATCAAAAAAAAGCTTTTCTCCGGTAACAAGGCCGCCAAATTTTTCGCAAATAAATATTGAAGTTTGAAAATAATGTTGATTGGCGAAAAGAAGTAGTTGGTCAATTGACAAATGTGACTTAGACATAATCAATAAATTGATTGGATGTGACAAAACCGGGCTTTGCTTGATGGAGCCTTGATTCTCTCCGGAGATCAGGCAGGAAATAGTAGTTTTACTTAGTGTTACCTATTGTTGATGTATTACAATCCATCCGATCATGATGCATTTTTTTTTGTTTTGACGAACTCCTGAATTTTTCGAAAAAAAATAAAATCGATATTTTATTTGAGGTCATCATAATGTGATATTATATACTATTCCAAGATTCTGAGAACAAAAATATATTTATTTTGAAGTTACAAAATTTGCCTTTATTGCCAAACTTTTCCTTATCGAAGGGAAACCAATAAAAATAAATTATAAAAAAAAAAATCTGTACATTTCAAAGGTCTAGAATATTTCAATAGCATTATAAATTAAGGCACTCGAGAATAAAATCGTAAACATCAAATTACAAAGTCCAGATTTATAATTATTTGTGGCCAAATTGGTCGAATTGCTACCACCAGGTTTTTCAGGACTAGTAAATTCTTGAACAAATACAGTCTCGGTAAAAGAAACTGATAAATTAAATCTAACGGGAATACCAGTTGGATTTTCCAATAATAGGCACTGACTTTC